TTAATTTTTTCCTTTTGACAGAGCAAATTGGGATCCTGAATTTTTATTTTCTTTGACAACAAAAATCAACACTGATCTCTTTTAGTTACCTAATTCTTGATGGACATCAGGATGTTGACCACTTTTAGTAATATTTAATATATATCTCATTTGTTCCATTTATCCCCCGAGTATTGTAGCCATGTTTAAAGTGAAAATTTCCTGTGTCAAATTAACTTTTCCAATACCTTTTGTCCATTTTTTCCATGTCTGCTTGAATTGAATTCGCTCCAGGTTTCCATTAACTTTGGACCATGCTTCAAGTATCCTCCGAAGGATCTCACTTACCGCCCTGTGAGTAACATTACAAATGCCTGCATGCATCCTCGGCATTGCCGTGGCTGCTCTAGTCACCGTGTTCTGTTTCTGATTCCTCCTGCAGATGAGTGACATGGGCTGGGGCGCCGTGGTAGAGCACACCCTGGCTGACGTCTTGTATCACGTGGAGACAGAAGTGGATGGGAGGCGCAGTCCCCCGTGGGAACCCTGACCAGGTCCCTCTTTTCTGTCAAGGACTTTCTGGGGAATAATACTGGGGGTTTTGTTTTTGTTTTTGAACTGTCTCAAATATTCTCCCAAAGATGCTACAAAACACAGCCTCTCCTTTTAGCAAGTTAAAAGGCTGGGTAGGACTACGGGAGACTGCCTGCCTTTCACCATTTTCTCCCAACTTCCAGTGACTGCTCTTATTTTGTGTACCACAAGCCAACAACCGCTGACTCCAGGATTGTGTAAGCCCCCTGTGAAATCAGTGCTGTACTGCATACCCTGCCAGCTGTGACTTGTTATCCTACTATATTTTCTAAAGAGTGAATAATATTGTCCGAGTAACTTATTTGAAAGACATTTCCTTCTGTGGGCATTGACTCCATCCCACCTGTTTTCCAAGGAAATGGTAACCTGTTTCTGAGAACACCTGAAATCAATGGCTACACATTCCAAACCAATCTAAACACTATTTCCCTTTGGTGTGGGTTTGGTTTTGTTGTTCATTTTGAAATACACTTTTGAACACTGAGATCCCTAAAACTACTAGATCTCTAGAAGTGTAATTGTGAAAGAAACTTGCTTGCAGCTTTAACAAAATGAGAAACTCTTCCCAAATAAAACTTGTTTTGAAGTTTGTGTGACACTTTGCTTCCCTTCAGGTTGGGTGCCTCTTGGTGACAGTGTTCAGAAATGTAAGCAGCATGAGGAAAGGAGCTGGCACTGGGAGGAAGAGCCAGGTTTCTGACTTGTGTTTTGGCCGCTTTCCTGTTGCTCCTATTCTTGCCAATCAGCCACCCCATTTCCTGTGAAAATCTGCCACCTTGAGGAAAGGAACAAGAATTTCAAAGGGCTAATGGTCTCCCTCCTGGTCTTCCCTTGGAACGTGGATGTTGATATGTGCAGGTGGTTTCCTGTCTTGCTTATCTTCCTTTGCCCTTAGCTGATGGCTAAAGGGCAGTTTTCAGACTATTAAAGACTGAAATGTAAGAATGAGCCTTCCAGGCACCATGGTTCATGCCTATAATCCCAGCATTTTGAGACATTAAGACAGAAAGATTGCTCAAGACCAGGAGTTCAAGACCGCCTGGGCAACATAGTAAGACCCCTTCTCAGTAAAAAATTAGCCAGACGTGATGACACATGCTAGTAGTCCCAGCTACTTTGGAGGCTTAGGTGGGAGGATCCCTTGGGCCCAGGAGTTCCAGGCTGCAGTGAGCCATGTTTGCACCACTGCACTCCAGCTTGGGCAACAGAGCATGACCCTGTGTCCAAAAATAAAAATAAAAAATAAACCTTTCTTTTGGATTCCTATATAATTTCATTGTCTTCCTTTTTCTTTTCTTTTCTTTTTTTTGTTTCTGTTTTATTTTGTTTTTTTTGAGATGGAGTCTCGCACTGTCACTCAGGCTGGAGTGCAGTGGCACAATCTCAGCTCGCTGCAACCTCCGCCTCCCGGGTTCAAGCAATTCTCCTGCCTCGGCCTCCTGAGTAGGTGGGACTACAGGCACGTGCCACCACACCTGGTTAATTTTCTGTCGTATTTTTAGTAGAGACGGGGTTTCACTCTGTTAGCCAGGATCATCTCGATCTCCTGACCTCATGATGTGCCCACCTCAGCCTCCCAAAGTGGCTGGGATTACAGGCGTGAACCACCAGGCCCGGCCTGTCTTCCTTTTTCAATACATCAGTCTTACAGCAAAGACAGCCCTCCCAGGATTGCCCAAAGACTCTCTTGCATTTACCTCTCTACCTTGGTTAATAGATAGAGTGGCTCACCACATGGAGGGTGACATGCTACTGCAGAGTCACCATGTTAAGCCTGTGGCTCTTCTGAATATCTTGTCATTTTCCTGTTTAAGAGAGTTCCCACACTTCAAGACAATATTGTTATTTTAACATAGTAGCATTGACTAATGTATTTGTCTCCTGATGAATCACCCAGACGCGTTGATTTGGCCACTCTGTATCTCTGAACAGGAAAACTTGTACAGGTCGAGTGTGATTGGAGGCTGAGGCTCAGCCCTAGACACCTATTAATGCATGAGCTGGTCTTCAAGGGCAGACCTGGTTATAAAGCTTCTAGGTCATCGGAGTTTGAGGGACTCCAAGAAAATAAGGGTGGTGTTATTTAGAGGAAGCTGAATGTTAATTCTTTGTAATAGAAATTACCATATATAAGTTGTATACCCACTGTCCATCTAAATTATAAAATTAGCTTTCTGTATATATTTCATTTTCACAAATCAAAGGTTACAGGTAATGATGTTCTTCTCAAACATCAAAAGTGTGTGTGTGTTTTAATACAGTTCATTTGAAGGGCTCAGAGAATATCTACTCTTCACATAGTCCTATATAAAATAGTTTCTGTAATCAGATCAACAGTGATAACTTGTTTTATTCCAGTGTAAAATTAAACAAGTGGAAAATATCTCCACAGAGACCAGAAAGGCACAATTACATAGTTTGAAGGAGGCAGTTAGAATCCAGCAAACGAGTGGGTTTGTTAAAAGCCCATTTCTTGACTGTCAGCCTGTTATCTTGAAACTAGAATATATGTTGCTTTAAGATATCTTTAAACACATAACTGTTTTCTCTTAGCTGGTAGTGGATGATAATTCCACTTGAGAAATACTTCTCTACAACTATCCTCTCTCAACTCTGAGGCACTTAGGTAAACAATAATTTTATCCATGCCAAAAATAAACTTAAGAATCCAAATAAATTATAATAAATACCTCTACTAGTTGTAAAATTTTAATATCTCAATAAATACCACAGTGTTCCCACTAATGCGGTTTTTTAATTTAGTTTGTCATAATTTGGTTTCATCAACTCCTTTGTCTTTTTTTTTTTTGAGATGAGGTCTTACTATCTTGCCCAGACTGGTTTCAAACTGCCCTCCAGCAGTTCTCCCACCTCAGCCTTCAGAGTAGCTGGCATTGTGGGTGGGCACCACCGTGCCCAGTTCCTGCTTTCTAATAAATAAGCCAGAGCTCTGTCTCCAAATGGTGCAAATCATCAATGCTGTTAAAACAAGAATGGAAAACTTTCACGTGGTGATGGTGATTTTTTTCATCGTCCCTACCCTCCCATCCCAGTGTGTGCGTGTGTGTATAATTTTTTTTTTTTTTTAAGACAGCCTTGCTCTTTCGCCCAGACTGGAGTACAGTGGCTCGATCTTGGATCACTGCAACCTCCGCCTCCCGGGTTCAGGCAATTCTCCTGCCTCAGCCTCCCAAGTAGCTGGGATTACAGGCATGTACTGCCACGCCCAGCTCATTTTGTATTTTTAGTAGAGATGGGGTTTCTCCATGTTAGTCAGGCTGGTCTCCCCCCTCGGGCGATCGCCTGCCTTGGCCTTCCAAAGGGTTGGGATTACAGGCGGGAGCCACCTCGCATAAATTCTCTTGACTTTTGAGAAAGGAAATTTGCTTTCACCATATTACCCCTTCTTCCAGCCACTTCTCCCAAAATACTAAAGTTTAGCCTATTTAAGCAGAGAAGTTGCCAGCCCCAAACAAAGTTGACAGCTGTGGAATTATCTTACTACTAACTGGCATCATAAATAACAGAAATGTTAACTAATATTGTTTATTCTCTCATATTTGGCACTGCCTTTAATTTTAATTAGGTAAATAAACATTCTCAGTTATAATCTTCCTCTTCCAGGGCCCATTAATCAGCTATTGCTTATAGAATTCTTTAAGAACTCGGCGCAGTGGCTCACGCCTGTAATCCCAGGACTTTGGGAGGCTGAGGTGGGTGGATCATGAGGTCAGGAGATCGAGACCAGCCCGACCAACATGGTGAAACCCCGTCTCTACTAAAAAATACAGCAAAAAAATTAGCCGGGCATGGTGTCGGGCACCTGTAGTCCTAGCTACTCGGGAGGCTGAGGTAGGAGAATGGCGTGAACCTAGGAGGCGGAGCTTATAGTGAGCCGAGATTGTGCCACTGCACTCCAGCCTGGGTGACAGAGCAAGACTCTGTCTCAAAAAAAAAAAAAAATTTAAAAACTCATGTAGGTTGTGCTTATGGAAATTAAATTTTTATGAAGGATCCTGGTAACATAGTCTAAATAATTGAATTGCATAATTTCCCAGTAGTTCTTTTCCTTTTAATGAGCCTGTCTAATTTAGTTTGACTAATTGAAAGCTTTGTCCAGGACTCCTCTAGTGTAGAGTTGTAATCTACTAGCATAGATTTTTTTTTTTTTTTTTTTTGAGACAGAGTCTCACTCTGTCACCCATGCTGGAATGCAGTGGCACAATCTTGGCCCACTACAACCTCCGCTTCCCGGGTTCAAGTGATTCCCCTGCCTCAGCCTCCCAAGTGGCTACGACTACAGGTGTGCACCATCACACCCAGCTAATTTTTTGTATTTTAGTAGAGACGGGATGTCACCATATTGGCCAGGATGGTCTCGATCTCCTGACCTTGTGATCCACCCGCCTTGGCCTCCCAAAATGCTGGGATAACAGGCGTGAGCCACCGTGCCCAGCCGCATAGATTTTTTTTTAACAGTACAATATTAAAACATACAGACTGATGTTTTGTGTGAATTATGATTCTTTATTCTGACGGGTGCCTATGGAAGCAACAGGGAAACCTGTCTACTAATTAGTTTTGTCTTTTTCCATAGAGAAAGCTTGGACTATATTTCTGGAAGGCACCCACTGTGGGGCGCTGCTTGTTCTGTGGTGTTGCTGTGCAGTGAATGGGAGGAGCAGAGGGCTGCAGGAGACACTCTGAGATTCTGCCTTGTACACACGCACTGCTAGTGCATGGCATTCTTGAGCCATAAAGCAAGACTTCTCAGGCCCTGTGGTTAGCATCCCCCACACCCATATCAGCCACTAGCATTTTAAAGATAGTTTTAGGTGGGAATGTAAGGGCCCAGAAAAAAGAGTTTTACAATTATTTTAGGGGCCTTAACCTTCATGTCATAGCTAATCAGTGAATTAAATTACCTTTTAATCCAAGAGCCTCATCCCTGTTTTCTTGGTGCTAAAAACTTTTACCAATCTGAATCCTAGTGTCATACTCTAAACACTAACCCCACCCATCCCAGTGTCGCCAGATGGAGATCTTAGACTTGCAGACTTCCAGCAGGGATTCTCCTGATGAGCATGCATACCAGTGCAGCTGGGCACACTGGGGAATAGCAGGCTGGTCTTCAACACCTGGCTTCAGAGGCAGGGCGGGACTCCAGGCGCCTGCGCAGGTGGTTGGCAAAATCCACCTGGGTCTGGGACAGGACCTGGTTGATGATGCTCTTGGGCAACCACCCCTGCAGTAGAAGGTAGGAGAATTTGGCCATCTTGTGGGTTTTGGTCCACTCTAGACACTCCACCCTATCACAAACAGGCTGTCAGGGGCTTGGTCTTCAAGCTCTGTTAATAGGTGCAGCCTTGGGGTTGCCTGGTCAGGGGTGGGAGGACTGCATTGCTGCTCTGCTGTCATGACTTTCAGAAGCACAAGACTAGCCAACAAGATATTTCAGCCTGGTCTTCCCAGCTGTGTGACCATGAACAAGTTATATTGCCTTTTTTACCCTTCAGATCTCTGGACCTAAGTTTCCTTCTTTCTAAAATGGTAACTACATATAGAGTTGAACTTAACTATGAGACAGAAGAGGGCCGGGCACAGTGGCTCACGCTTGTAATCCCAGCACTTCGGAAAGCAGGCAGATCATGAGGTCAGGAGTTTGAGACCAGCCTGGCCAACATAGTGAAACCCCGTCTCTACTAAAAATACAAAAATTAGCCGGGTGTGGTGGCACACGCCTATAGTCCCAGCTACACGGGAGGCTGAGGCGGAAGAATCGCTTGAACCCAGGAGGCAGAACTTGCAGTGAGCCGAGACCACACCATTGCACTCCAGCCTGGGTGACAGAGTGAGACCCTGTCACAAAAAAAAAAAAAAGAAGAAGAGGGAGCCATCACAGGCTTTGGAGATGGTAGAGTAGCAATTAGGCCATCACTCAAGGCCCTTCCCTGTCTTACAGCCTGTGATTCTATCAGAATAGAAGAGGATTCTTTCTGTTGCATGGTGGGGATGGGAAGAGCCTGTTTTTCTCACTACCACCTGCCCTCCAGATCCCCCTCTCATGCCCTTCACCTTGAGGTCGATGCTGAGTAGCCACGTAAGTTTGGTCTTCGAGGGACTTCCAGCCAGTGGGTGAAGCACCATGCAAGTGGGACCGTGCTCCGCCCTGGCAAATGGAGAAGTCAAGTCAGGAGGACAGTTGTGAGTTCTCTCTTGCACTGGCTGCTTACACTAGTACCACAGATAACACGTTTCTACGGTACCTTGCTTTTCTAAGTTTTATCAGGGAACTGCCCTTTGCAAAGGGTAATTATTTGGCAATTGGCATGATTACCAGCTCATCAGAATAAAGGCTGCTTGTAGCTGGAGCGGCCCCTGAGGCCTCTTGTGCCCTTTAGTTGCTGGATTACAGGGAGGTCAGGGAAAGGATTCAGGCTCGTGACTGGGCTGGGGCCTTGGGAAATTCAGGAGGCCATGGTGTACTGAGTGGTATGGATTATTTCAATATTTTAGTCGACATTACAGCTGTACCTGAGCGTACCAGCTGAACCTCAGCCCTGCCCCATGCTTCAGCAAATGATTAAGGTTCTTAAACTTTCTGGGAGGGTCAGGACAAGCTGTTTGGCTGTCGAAGTAGGGCCTATCTTGTCTTTGTCCCTCCTTTGGTAAATAAGTATGTTCTTTTGTAGAAGGAAGCCATGGGTGCACCAAGGGTTGGTTTCTTGGAGCTGGGGATGCAGTCCACATGCTTGGGTCTGCACCCGCAGGCCTGTGTTAGAAGGGGGGGTTTGGAACCTGCCGCCCGTATTACCTGATGACACCTTTCTGCTCAGGCATGTTTCCGAAGTCTGTGGCCATGCCAGCTAGCACACAGGTGGAGCCTCGGCGCTTGGCACAGCGCACGCTCACAAAGTCACGGGGCCCCACCAGGTTTCCTGCTGCCTCTGCAGCCATCTCGTGAGTAATGAATGTATCTTTTCCGATCTTCTGCAGGACCTACCAGGCCATGGGGAACCAGAATCACGACTCAGCCTGTGTTGGGCTGAGCACCCCCCATAGCTAGGGGTCCTCTCTTTGATACAGCATTCACACTGGGCTGTCCTGGACCCCTGCCACCCGCACCTGGACTTTGCTCACCTTGATCTCCTTGACATTAGGGTTCCACTCCCCCATTGCTTCCATGCGCTCCACGAGCTCTTCATAGAGCCTTTCCATGGGCTGGTCCACCACGACCTCCAGCTGAAACACCTTGCCCACATCTGGGACCACTTTACTCATCACTTTGTCCCCATTGTCCTGTCAGAGAAAGGAGCCCCAGAAGGTGGTTAGACAAAAATATTCTTGGCCAGGCACAGTGGGTCACGCCTATAATCCCAGCACTTTGGGAGGCCAAGGTGGATGGATCACAAGGTCAGGAGGATGAGACCAGCCTGGCCAAGATGGTGAAACCCTGTCTCTACTAAAACTACAAAAATTAGCCAGGCACGGTGGCAGGCACCTGTAATCCCAGCTTACAGGTGGCACAATCATGGGTCACTGCAGCCTCAACCTCCTGGGCTCAAATCCTCCTGCCTCAGCCTCCCAAGTACCTGGGACTACAGGCATGCACCATTACACCTAGCTAATTTTTAAATTTTTTGTAGAGATGAGATCTCCCTGTGTTGCCCAGGCTGGTCTCAAACTCCTAGGCTCAGGCAGTTCTCCCATCTCGTCCTCCAGGTGTGAGCCACTGCACCCAGCTCCCCTGGACCCTTTGTCTTGCTGGGGAATGATGGTGGTATGGGTAGGTCCAACTGAAAAGACTCTTACTTGACTTCAGAAGCTCAAAGATCCCAAGAGAGAAACCTGGGAATAGGAAAAGTGGTTTACACCAGCTTGATTAGATACATAGAATGTTGAATGGGATCTTCAAGATTTGTTTTAGTTCAGTACCTCATTCCACACCAGAAGAATGTGAGGCCAGAGAAGGTCAGTGATTGGTCCAGGGACCCTTAGCTAAGAGCAGTGCCGATCTAAGTCCCAGGTTCCTTGACTCCCAAACTAGTAGTCTGTTAACTCCGTTACTCTGAGAACTTAGGGAAGGAGGGGTTCTACCTGAACTTTGGGTAGTGGGCAGCATGTCAGCTTTTGCTGAAGGTAAAGCCACCAAAATCTCCATAACGGAGCTGCCAGCCTTTACCGTGAGCCTGGTTACTGTCCCCAGTGATGGTCAGTGCTCAAGCGCAGAGAACCCCAGAAGGCTGTGGACCACTCTGTATTCTAGTCCAGGCCTGTTGCAGAGTGAGCCCACATCACCCCTGCAAGCCCAGCCACATGTGGGCTGACAGCACAGACAGTGCACTTTGGCGTCGTTGGGATATCTGACCCAGGGCGATGAGGCCTCACGTACACTTGGAGTCCCCCTTGCATGGTCTCTGCCAAGTGGGTGCACAATGCAATCCTATTCTATAGCTAAGGACACAGGAATAGTGTTTCTCCAACAGGACTCTCCAGGGTGTCTTTTATGGGGGAAGAGCATTATCTGAGGATATATTCTCAGGAAAGGAGAGTTCTCAAGTTAAAACCACTTGCTACCCAGTGACTGCTGCATGAGACAGGAATTCTGGGAAGAACAGTAACCCCAGCTGGCCTTGAGGATGGCCGTAGAGCATGAAGGAACCACAGGCTTCTCCCCCACGCTTACCTGCTGGGTCTCCTTCTTCCAGCCCTCCTGGTTGCTAAGGATGCCCAAGGCCTTCTGCATGGCCTCCTCCCCCTGCTGGAGATAGGCCAGCTCCTGGTCACTGTAGAGAGTCTCTTCCAGCCGAGAACCTGGGTACACAGCCAAAGAGAAACAGAGCTTCCTTCTTCTCCCAGCCTCCACCAGCTCTCATCCCTGGAGCTCTGGGTCTGCTCATTGTTCTGAAGAGCCTGGACTAAAGCCATAGGGGCCAGCCTGCTGTTCGAGTTAGACACAGCCACCACAGGTGACCGGAGGGGGATCTGGCCTTGAGGAACTCTAGGCTGGGAACGTCCTTTCAAAATGAAGGAAGGGCAGGAGGGGAGCCCAGGCCACACGCACCACATCACCTCCCGGGAGCCTCCTGCCAGCCCCAGGAGCCCAGAAGCCTCAGCACTTACCGAGCAGAGAGCTCCGCCGCCGAACCTGGCTAATCCACGTGCTAGGGTTGGGGCCCCCCATGGCCCTCCGGTTCAGCTCCTGGCCGATGGCCATCACGGCCTGTTGCCTCAGCCCTGCAGAAGGGAAGAACACTTGTCTAGGAGCTGGAAAGCCCCTTAGAGATGGACCATTCCACCCCCTCATCTTGTCACAAATTAGGAAGTTGGCTTGGAGAGGGCAGTGACTTGCTCAGGAGCACACAGGATTCTAGCAGGGATCTGAACTACAGCTAGGCCCCCAACTCCCACCGCAGTGCTCCAGGGTCCAGAAATCTGCCTTCCATCTGGGGTGGTCAGGCCTGGCCCTGCCTGGAGACGGGCTATACCAGAGCCTGCTGGAGTTTCTGTCCCTAAAAGGGGAAGAAGCTGTGTTCAAACAACCAGAAAAATCCTACTTCATAAGGAGAATACAACTCCTGAGGTCTGTGTGCTTGCATGAGTCTGTGGTTACATGAGTCTGTGTGCTTGCCTGAATCTGCTTGCATTGCATGAATCTGTGATTGCATGAGGTCTGTGTGCTTGCATGAATCTGTGCTTCTATGAGTCTGTGTGCTTGCATGCCATAAGCTGCTCTGTGTGTCCCTGGATTCTGGGCCAGGGAAGTCCTGTCCATCTAGTGAGGACAACCCCACTGCCGGCTGCAGATCTAAGCATGGCTTCTCGCTCTAAAGGTAGCTAATTCAATCCAGTGTAATTGGAAAGATCGTGTCTAGATTGACTTGTGTACCCTTCAGTGGCAGCAGAGGATTCAAATGACCTTGGATGCTAATCAGCTGTACAAAAGTAGCTTCTTGTAGCTGGTTTCTGTCCCTTTCTGGGTATTCAATGATAACAGTCTTCCCAGCCCCACCATCTTCTCTCTTTACCTTGCCCACCTATCTTACTCCCCTGTCTCTCTTCTCCTCCATCTTTTTTTGCCTGTGGGAGTCAAGTCTAATATTTACTCTGGCACTGTGGGCAAGACTTTCCTGGGTACCCCTGCTACAAGCCTTGTCCAGCTCTGAAGGAAGGCAAAGTCAGGAATACTTCAAAAAAGATGGCCGCACATGGTGGTGCATGCCTGTGGTCCCAGCCGCTCAGGAGGCTGAGGCAGGAGAATTGCTTGAACCCGGGAGGCAGAGGCTGCAGTGAGCCAAGATAGTGCCACTGTACTCCAGCCTAGGCAACAGAGTGAGACTCTGCCTCAAAAATAAAATAGGCCGAGCGCCATGGCTCATGCCTATAATCCCAGCAGTTTGGGAGGCGGATCACCTGAGGTCAGGAGTTCAAGACCAGCCTGGTCAACAAGGCAAAACCCTGTCTCTACTAAAAATGCAAAAATTAGCCAGGCATCCTGGCGTGTACCTGTAATCCCAGCTACCCGGGAGGCGGAGGTTGCAGTGAGCTGAGATCGTGCCACTGCACTCCAGGCTGGGCAACAAGTGAGACTCCGCCTCAAAATAAATAAAGTAAGCCAGGTGTGGTGGCTCACACCTGTAATCCCAGCACTTTGGGAGGCCAAGGTGGGAGAATCCCTTGAGCCCAGGAGGTCAAGACCAGCGTGACCAATACAGCAAGACTTTGTCTCTAATAAAAATAAAAATAAATAAATAAATAAAACTAGCTGGTTGTGGGGCGAGTGCAGCTGTACAGCTGGGGGGGGGGGGGGGGGGAGCCCTGGTACGGTGCCCGCTTACTAAAAAAAAAAAACTAGCGGGGGTGGGGGTGGCCAGCTGGGGGCTGAGGAGGGTGGCGGACGGGGCAGGCTGCGGAGCTGAGTCTGTCCACTGCCCCAGCTGGCAGATGAGACTGTTCAAAAAAAAAAAAAAAAAAAAAAAAAAACTAGCTGGTTGTGGTGGTGCACGCTGGTAGTCCCAGCTACTCAAGAGGCTGAGGTGGGAGGATGGTTTGAGCCCATGAGTTTGAGGCTGCAGTTAGCTATGATTGTTCCACTGTACTCCAGCCTCCATGACAGAGACCTTGATTCAAACAAAAAAAAAAAAGAAAAGGCAGAAGAAAAAAAGAACAAACGAAGGAAAAGGGGAAGGAAGAAAGGAAAGGAAGAAGGAAGGAAGGATGAAAGAAAGAAAAAGATTAAAAATGAAAGAAAAGGAGAAAAAAAGATTGGAGTCCTAGAGGGAAGACCAGAAATTACAGAATCTGGAAGGGATATATCTTAGTAACCAGCCCACTTCTTCCGAGGGGAAAACAGATTCAAGAAGGGAAGAAACTTGCCCAGGTTCACCCAGTAAGAGGCACAACTAGGATCAGAATTGGGTGGCCTGAGCCTCATCCATTGAGAGCTGGCCAACCCCTCATTGCCTCCTTCCCGCAGCGCTCACCCTTCATGTTGCGCATGTGTCTGTAGGAGCTCCCGGCGCACAGCTTGAATGTCGCTAGCAGCATTGTTTCCTGGCAGATGTGGCAGTGGTGGGGTCGCTGCCGCTGCTGCAGCTGCCTCTTCTCTCAAGAAGTGGTTCTTTGTCCTTCCTGAGCCCCTCAAGCTTCGCCTGTGAGTCCCGCAGCTGCAGCCTGGACCTGGTGTTCTGCGTCTTAAATGCCCCCCGCTGAAGGCTGTGCATCATCATCAGGAGATAAAAATGCCATCACTCACTGTGCAAAGGAAGGGGTCAAGGATAGAGCGATTGCCTCACACTGCTGCTTTGGCCGTTTGTGGGGAGTGTGGGGTGGGGGAGGGTGCAGGGGAGAGTGAGGAGGACAGGGCCAGGCTGGAGGGATGGAGGGGAGAGAAGCAGGGGCAGCTTAGATGAAGGCACATAGTGGTTTTCAAGAGTTAAAAGTGCAGATTTCTAGCCCTTGTCTACAGAAACTCCAGGCTCAGCTGATCTGGAATTGAGGCTCAGAAACATGCGCTAAAAAAAAGAGAAAAGAAAAGAAAAAAACTTCCCTTGGCCAGGCGGGGTGGCTTACGCCTATAACCCCAGCACTTTGGAAGGCCGAGGTGGGCAGATCACTTGAGATCAGGCGTTCGAGACCAGCATGGCCAACATGGTGAAACCTCGTCTCTACTAAAAATACAAAAAATTAGCCAGGCGAGGTGGCAGGCCCTTGTAGTCCCAGCTACTCCGGAGGCTGAGGCACGAGAATCACTTGAACCCAGGAGGCAGAGTTGCAGTGAGCCAAGATCACGCCACTGCACTCCAGCCTGGGCGACAGAGTGAGACTCCATCATAAATAAATAAATAAATAAATACCCAGTGGTTGCAATGCAGGTGTTGTGTGGACTACACACTATGACAACCACCATCTCGGGAGAGTGAGCCAGGGTGTTTACCAGGCAGTAGAGACCGTACGGCTGCTGTTCTTCTGGGAGAGGACCCTGAAGTCCACAGAGTGGAACTGACTTGTTCAAGGTCAAACAGCTGGCCAGTGGCAGAGCCAGGACAACAACCCAAGCCTCTGGCCTTCAAGCCATCTGTACACAGTTCCTCCTGCGGTCCCCAGGATGCTGGGCATATTCAATTGTCCATTTATTTACTCATCCATTTCTAGAAACCACCTTTCCCAAAGTCCTGTTCTGAGTGAGGAGTCCTCTCAGGAGTCTGTGCTGGAGCAAGGATGACCTCTCACGGCTGAGTTGGGGGTGCAGCCCTATCAGCTTACAGCAGAGAGAAGATGAGGGCCTGGGCTATGCCCACACCCTTCCTCACACTTTCCCCCCAGTAGCTTTGTCTGGGTGAGCTGGGCTGGGGGTCTTGGTATATGCTGAAAGCTTGAAAAGACAGGGCATGGGCTGGGCGCGGGTGGCTCACGCCTGTAATGCTAGCACTTTGAGAGGCCAAGGCGGGCAGATCACAAAGTCGGGAGTTTGAGACCAGCCTGACCAACATGGTGAAATCCCATCTCTACTGAAAATACAAAAATTAGCCAGGAGTGGTAGCGTATGCCTGTAATCCCAGCTACTCAGGAGACTGAGGCAGGAGAATCACTTGAACCCGGGAGGCAGAGGTTGCAGTGAGCCAAGGTTGCGCCACTGCACTCCAGCCTGGGTGACAGAGCAAGACTCTGTCTCAAAACAAAAACAAAAACCAAAACAACAAAAATTAGCCAGGCGTGGTGGCAGGCGCCTGTAATCCCAGCTACTCAGGAGGCTGAGGCAGGAGAATTGCTTGAACCTGGGAGGTGGAGGTTGCAGTGAGCTGAGATCACACCATTGCATTCCAGCCTGGATGACAGAGTGAGACTCCATCGCAAAAAAAAAAAAAAAGAAAAGAAAAAAAGAAAAGACAGGGCATTGGGGTGCTCACCCTAGTCTTTGCACTTTAGGGGCCCTGTCAGGCTGAGCAAGGCCCCGCGAGGCCTCTGCATTTCCCACTCACCCTCACCCTGGCGCAGCACGTGCTGGGCTCTGACGGAATTTCTTCCCTTTACAGTGACCTTGTGGCTGCTTTTAAGCCAGATTCATTGGGCAAGAATATTGGGAGTGGAAAAACTCACACTGGAACTGCCCATGGCCCAGGCCCCGCTCCCTGTGTGAGGGAGTTCTGTGTCCTGTCACCACCTCGCAGAGGCAGAGGGGAGCCCTAAAAATGGGGAGCAGTGCCAGGGCCCCATGCAGTCTTGCTGTCTCCCCCACTCCAGATAGGGTGAAAGGGACAGGATCTGCTCAGAACCAGGCCTGGCGCTTGGAGCCTATATAGAACAGGGGAGTCGTCCCCTCGGCCCCTGATTTCCACCCCGGTGATACAGTCGGGGGATCCTGGGAGCAGAGGCCACCCAGAGGCACCCAGCCCCTTCCTCTAAACCTTCTCCTCCCAGAAACCTTCCCCTCCGGGAAACCTTCCTAGACCATCTTCTGGAATGCTGGCTCCTCCCACCACACCCTTACTGTCAGTATCACTCGAGGGGCTTAGCTCTGGTCCTGATTTGTTGAATGGTTTGTGTGTGTTTGCTTGTCTCTTCTGTGGAATTATCTCCCCAAGGCAGGTGCTGGGTCCACTTTCCCCCTTCAATGCTGTCCCCACCCTCAGCACTCACCTCCAGCAGAGACACAGGGGAGTCTTGCTCCTTCTCTAGTAAAACTTTTCTTTTTAATTTTTAAAAATAAAGATGGGGTCTTGCTATGTTACCCAGGCGGTCTTGAACTCCTGGGGTCAAGCCATCCTCCTGCCTTGGCCTCCCAAAGTGAGCCACTGCACCTGGTGTGCTCCTCCTCTATTGAGTGACCAACTGGGAAAGGGTGCAGGTATATCTTTAGACTCAGGAAACCTGCCCAAAAGCATTGTTTCCCGCCCTCAGAGAGTGGCCAAGAAAGACAGCAGGGCGTCTCCCCTGCCGCCAGCCTGTGCGTAGGCCCTCTACCTTTCAGAGAGGAGTGCGCCCTCTACCTTTCAGAGAGGAGTGCGGAGGATGAGCTAGGCAGGGGGGCACCAGCTCCCCCAGCTCCTCCCTCTGATCTGCTGGGGCACGTGCCCCTCCTGCACATGTGTGCCTGCAGGCTTGCCTCAGCGAGGTGGGGGGAGTGGGGAGGCAGTTATTATGGGACAGGCCATGCAGATGATGATCAAGGCCCTGCTGCTGCCTTCCTGTGGAGAATTATGGCCATTCTGAAAGGGGTGGAGGTGGTGTGGGAGAAAGAGGATAGAGCCTATGGCTGTGGCTGATGTCAGAGGCTGCCACTGACTCCCGGTGGGGGGTGGTTGGGAGGTGGTGCTGAGTGACCTCTGCAAGGGCCAAGGCTCTCTTCCTCATCCTTTCCAGGCAGAATGACTCATTAACTCTCTCCATCCCTCAGAGCAGTAAATTGGTGAGAGGGGTCTGGGAATTTCCTCTGGTTCTGGACCATCTGTATCTGGCTCTGCTTTTTGATGAGGGCAGAGCTTCCAAGAAAGAAGGCCAGATGACCACAGCAGGCCATGGGGGAGGAGAGCCAGGGGGCCAGCTAAGGTGGTGTGCATGTGCCATGCGGGAGAGGAAGGCCCCCAGGCCAGGCGAGACAGCCAGGGCTTTGGAGCAGAAAAGGGGATTCCAATCCCTTCCTTCCTCCCTCCCTCCCTCCCTCCCTTCCTTCCTCCCTCCCTCCCTTCCCTCCCTCCCTCCCTCCCTCTCTTCCTCCCTCCCTCCCTCCCTCCCTCCCTCCCTCCTTCCTTCCTTCCTTCCTTCCTTCCTTCCTTCCTTCCTTCCTTCCTTCCTCCCTCCCTCCCTCCCTCCCTCCCTCCCTTCCTTCTTTCCTTCCTTTGCGCCATCACAGTCCAGCCTGGGCAACAAGAGTGAAACTCTGTCTCAAAAAAAAAAAAAAAAAATCTGGTAAAGCATCCCAGGAAAACATGGGGGTGAGGGGTGGGGTTGGACAGGGAGCTGGGTGCTTCCTCCCTCCCTCCCTCCTTCCCTCCTTCCTTCCTTCCTTCCTTCACTCCTTCCCTCCTTCCTTCCCTTCCTTCCTTCCTTCCTTCCTTCCTTCCTTCCCTCCCTCCCTCCCTCCCTCCCTCCCTCCCTCCCTCCCTCCCTCCCTTCCTTCCTTCCTTCCTTCCTTCCTTCCTTCCTTCCTTCCTCCCTTCCTCCCTCCCTCCCTCTCTCTAAAGTTAGGACTATATGAATTGAACCATAGACCCAGTATGGACAGTCACAGGGCAGACGAGGTGTTTTGGAAGTAGAGATGATGGAACCCCTAATTCTATGGGGGAGGGTGGAGCGTTATGGAAGGCTTCTGGAAAGTATGATTGGGAGTTAGCTAGGTTTGTGGAGGGGGTTGAAAATAGAGAGTTGATAGGGTGAGGGTGTCCCAGGTAGAGCCGAGGAGGCTCTGAGGGCTGCGAGCTGGCTGTCAGGGGGAGCTTGGGTCGTTCCATGTGGCCTCAGCCCCCCAGTGCTGGGATTACAGGCGTAAGTCACCACGCCTAGCCTCTTTTTCTTTTCTTCATCCTCTCAGGTTAGTTACAAGGTTTAAATGAGGTAACAATACATCAATACCTACAAGATAAAGTCCAGAATTCTTAGCACAATTCCAATTTGGCCATTCCAGTTCTCACCTGGATTCTACCCAGCAGGGCTCAGCTCCCGCTGTGGTACCTGTTGCCATCCTGCATACCTTCTCTGTTCCAGGGAGGCTCGCAGTGCAGTCTCCCTTTGGAGGCTGTCCTCTGTGCCTTTCCTCACCCTACTCTTTAATTAGAATCCAATATTTTGGCCCAACATGAAGGCTCACGCCTGTAATCCCAGCACTTTGGGAGGCTGAGGTGGGCGGATCACCTGAGGTCAGGCATTCAAGACCAGCCTGGCCAACGTGGCGGAACCCCTGTCTCTACTAAAAATATAAAAATTAGTCAGGCATGGTGACAGGCGTCTGTAGTCCCAGGTACTCAGGAGGCTGAGACAAGAGAATCACCTGAACCCAGGAGGCGGAAGTTGCAGTGAGGCAAGATAGGGCCACTGCACTCCAGCCTGGGCAACAGAGCAAGACTCCATCTGAAAAAAAAAAAGAATCCAATATTTTACCTTTTGGCCCCACCTTGATAAATGTTTATCACCGTATCAATAAGATTCTTGCCAATATCTCCTTGTTTTACCTTTTTTTTTTTTTTTGAAATGGAGTCTCACTCTCTCACGCAGGCTGGAGTGCAATGGTATAATTTCGGCTCACTGCCACCTCTGCCT